CCTCTCCATATGTCAATCTCTTACTTGGGCATACAGAGGTTTCTGAAATTTTACCCTTGAGCCTCTTTCCTTACATCAGAATGTTCCCCTCCCATCACCGGCATATTGCACTGTAACCCTCAGCTCTACGGAACCATGTCCTGTTTCTTCACCAGGCCTTGCTCGTCCCCTCTGCACATCCTGCTCCCTCTCCTTGGAATGATCTTCTTGCCACACTGTTTGGGAAGTATCTATCCCCACCCCCACAGAGCTTTCTCTATGCTGCCTTGCTGACCACCTTGTATATGGGCTCTCCCTGTACTCTGCAAGGCTTCTTCTTTTTTTTTTTTTTAAGTTTTATTTTTGAAAGAGATAGTGTGTGAATGGCGGAGGGGCAGAGAGAGAATCCAAAGCAGGCTCCAGGCTCAGAGCTGTCACCACAGATCCCCACAAGGGGCTTGAACTCACAAACTGTGAGATGACCAGAGACGAAGTCAGACACTAAACCGACTGAGCCACCCTAACGCCCCTGCACAGCCTTGTTATAAAAGTTCCCAAACATGGGGCGCCTGGGTGGCTCAGTTGGTTGAGCATCCGGCTTCAGCTCAGGTCATGATCTCACAGTTTGTGAATTCGAGCCCCACGTTGGTCTCTGTGCTGACAGCTCAGAGCCTGGAGCCTGTTTTGGATTCTGTGTCTCCCTCTCTCTCTGTTCCTTCCCTGCTCATGTTCTCTCTCTCTCTCTCTCAAAAAAAAAATAATAAACATTAAAAAAAAATTAAAGCTCCCAGACATAAATAATATTTAAGAATTTGTAGAGAAGACTGGGAAACCTGGCAAGGACAAACATTAGGAAGGGGCTTGAGGGCAGGTTAAGGATTTGTTGACTTTAAAGACTGTGAAAGAGGTCACCTCTGTGGCTCAGTCGGTTGAACGTCTGACTTCGGCTCAGGTCATGATCTCACAGTTCATGGGTTCAAGCCCCGCATCGGGCTCTGTGCTGACAGCTCAGAGCCTGGAGCCTGCTTCACATTCTATGTCTCCCTCTCTCTCTGCCCCTCCCCTGCTTGCACTCTGTCTGTCTCTCTCTCTCTCTCTCTCAAAAATCAGTAAAACATTAAAAAAAAAAAACTTTAAAGACTGTGGAGGGACTCTTGAAGAATTCCAGTATGAGGGTAACAAGATCAGATTTGCCCTTCGGAAAGTTCACTCTGGACATATACTGGCAAGAGGAGCAGGTAGGATGACAAAATGAGACTGGAAGCCGGCTGTTGCATTAGGCTGGATGGGACACGATGGAAGCTTAAAGCCTTCCCATGCACACACACACAACTAACGGTGGAAACAGAGACAAAAGGATGGGTTTGGAAAGACTTAAACAGTTCCTAACCAATGAGCAGTATGTAGGGGACAGGAATTCAGTAAGAGGAAGTGAAGGGACAACAGAATCAAGGCTCCCTCCCATTTCCGTTGAGTATCGGGGAGGATAGTGGCACAATTCCCTAATGTTGGCACGTGGGATACACATTGGGGAGGGTGTGTCTTCACCCATTTCAATAACACTCCTCAATTTTTTCATGTGCCAACACTGTATTTTCCATATGACAAATTAATCATTGGTTCTCTCTCTCTCTCTCTCTCTCTCTCTCTCGTTTTGCCTTTAGTTTGCCTTATTACAATTTAAGTTTTCCTTTTTTAATACAAATTAACTTTGGATCTCCTAACTAGCTGCAGTAGTGCCCAAGGGGAAGTGAGGCGTTTCCTAACTTCGTACTCTATTCCTACAGCTGGAATAGCAGCGTTCCCTAGTGGGCAGGGCTATGGTAGGAGCCAGCTGGATGAGCTGGGGAATGCACTGCTTGGGGACCCAGAAGAAATCAAGGCAGGGGCGCATACGGATTTGGGTTTTTTCCCCCACTACCTCACCATCTCATCATGTCTCTGTTGTCCTACTACCTAATACTTTGATTTCCACTTGATAGATACCCAGTAACTATCCCCTTACTATTTCATATTTCCCTCACAAATGGGCCATAGGAAGCTGTCTTCAACTGATGAAAAGAAGCTTTAGATTCTTCAGAGCATGTGAAGCTTTGCCAGTTTTTTTGTTGTCGTTTTTTAGTAAACTTCCTCTTTTACCAGGGATTTTTCTTAAACTGAAAAAAAAAAAAAACCCACACTGAGATTTATTTACAAAGAGTACATGCTCTTTTTTTTTTTTAAATTGTTTTGTATCCCCCAACTTAAGTTTGAATTTGACTCCATAAATGAACTTGTCCATTTAAGACGTTTTGCGAGCATTTTCAGAGTATGAATGACATTTACTCTAATAGGAGAAAGCAGGGGATTTGATAACATAAACTAAGACATCATTGCCAAATCATTCGCATTCATTTAAAAATACATTTAACAAATATGTATTGAGCATCTGTAAGGTCCCAAAGCACAAAATCGCTGGCCTGAAGGAGCCTGCATTCTAGAAGGGAAAAGCAGATAATTAACCAAATAAAGGCTAAAGTAAAAGATAAGGCAGGAAGGGGAACAGTCCTGCTTTATGTCTGTTGTGTCAGCATATTTATCAATAGCATCCTTCTCGCTTTCCAATTGTGCCAATTGGAAAATAAATTATATGGTCAAACTAGGCACTGGGGTGTTAGATGGGGAGAAGTTGCAATTTTAGCTAGAGTAGCCAGGCAAGGCCTCACAGAGAAAAATGACATTTTTTATTTATTTTTTTTTTTCAACGTTTATTTATTTTTGGGACAGAGAGAGACAGAGCATGAACGGGGGAGGGGCAGAGAGAGAGGGAGACACAGAATCGGAAACAGGCTCCAGGCTCTGAGCCATCAGGCCAGAGCCCGACGCGGGGCTCGAACTCGCGGACCGCGAGATCGTGACCTGGCTGAAGTCGGCCGCTTAACCGACTGCGCCACCCAGGCGCCCCCAAAAATGACATTTAAGAACTGAAGAAGAAGAAGAGAGGAAGACTGCAGACATCTCGGGGATGGTTTGCAGCCAGAAGGAACAGCAGGTACAGAGACCCTGTAGTGCATGCATACCTGGTGTGTTTCAGGAACAAGACAAAAGGCACCATCGCTGAAAGAGAGGATTAAGGATGAGAGTAGACGTGGATGGGAAGTAAGAAGTAAGTGAAAGTTAGGGTGGGCAGACCTAAAGCCTTTTGGATCCTTGTACCCTGGATGAGGTGGAAGCCATTGCAGGAGTTACTTGTTCTGATTTATATTTTAGTAGGATCACTGTGCCTGCTGTGTGGAGAAGACTGTAGAGAAGGGGTAAATGCAAGGAGACTTAGAAGCATCCAGACTGGAAATGTTGGTGGCTCAAAATGGAATGGTAGTGGTTAAAAGAATCAGAAATGGTTGGATTCCTGAATAGGTGGATATAAGTAAAAGGAACGAGTCAAATGTGCTTTTGAGTTTAGGCTTTGAGCCACTAGAGGAATGGGGTTCTTTTTTCACTGACATGGAAAAACTGTGAGATTAGAGTAGGTTTGGTGACAAATTGAGAATCTCAGTATTAGATATATTAAATTTGAGATGTCCATTCACATCTATGTGGATGTCAAGTAGGTAAGGTGAACTAGAGAATCATTAATTATACAGATAATATTAAGAGCCAGGACATTAGGGGTGTCTGAGTGTCTCAGTGGGTTAAGCATCTGACTTCAGCTCAGGTCAGGATCTCACAGTTCGTGGGTTCGAACCCCACTTTGGGCTCTATGCTGACTGCTCAGAGCCTGGAGCCAGCTTCGGTTTCTAGTCTTTCTCTCTCTCTGCCCCTCCCCTGCTCTCTTCTGTCTCTCTCTCTCAAAAATAAATAAACCTTAAAAAAATAAAGAGTCACAACACTAGATGAAATCACAAACAATGAGTAAAAATAGGAAAGAAAAGGTGTTTAAGGATCGATCCCTGGAATACTTCTCTGATTACAGGTTAAGGAGATATGAAAGAATAATCAAAAAAAAGATATTTTCAGACAGGTTGACAACAATCCTCAAGTGGTAGGATTATGAATATTTTTTCTATTTTTTCTACTTTCTAAAATTAGTGGGCAATACATTTTTGTATTTTTATAATTTGATTTATACTCAGTAAAACAGTTTGTAGTTCAGTGAGTTTTTATAATTTATATAAGCTTTTATACTAGCATCCAAATGAGATATAGAATACTTCCATTACCTCCCAAATCCTCTTATGGGCCTTTCTGATCGATATCCACCCCCAAACTAATGTAACAATTTTCTGACTTCTATCATTGTAGATTGTTTTGCTTTTCCTCAGCATAATGTCTACAATGTACATAATTATGCTTTGTCGTATGTATCAGTTATTGTTCTTATTTACTCCCGGGTAGTGTTCTTTGTATGAATAAAACATGATTAGTTTATCATTCTTCTGATGAGCATTTGGGTTGTTTCCAGCTTTAGGCTATTTTGAATAAGACTGCTATGGACATGATTGTACAAACTTTTTTGTGGATGTGTGTTTGCATTTTGTTTGGATAGTTACCTAGGAGTAGAATTGTTGGACAGAGGGTTGATGTAATCTAACTTTATAAGAAATAGCCAACAAGTTTTGAAAAACAAGGATACCATTTTACAATCCACATGTAATACATTTGAAACAGGAAATAGGGCAAATATTTTAGAAAACAACTAAAACTGAGAATTACATAATTTTAATATTCATTATACTCTTTAATACATATCCCTGCTCTAAAATCTTGTCAAAATACTCTAAGTGGTAGTTTTTGAATGTCTTAGCAATGTATAGAAGATGCAGATTGATAAGTACTGCTGGGATGGTCTCTGAAGAGATTGTTCACTACTTAACTAAGTATTATACGCAAGTCGATTTAATAAACTCTTGGCTCAAGCAGAGATGAGAAGGAACTTTCTCAGTTCCCTGGCTTAGGTGAGAAGTTACATTCCTAACTTCAGTGATCCTAGGCTGTGCTCTGTACCCATCTTTCAACTTCTTCCCCCCTTTTTTTTATTCCAGCTTGACCCATTTGAATGAAAGTATTTAAGACCTAGAGACTGAGTAATACAGACAACCAGGAGAAAGATCTTCCTCACTGACTAGTGGTAAGAACTATAGAAGGTTCTGTTGTTAAAACAGGAGGGGCTGCAGCAGCTGAGGGAAATTAAGCAGAGTACCTAGGGTCTCATTACTGTCTTATCATGACATGTCAGGATAAGAATGTGCCTTCAGATGTGTTTATTTAAACACCCCAATGCTCCAGTGTATTTTAATTTTTCAGTATTTAAATGTGGCTATTTTAATGAGGTTACAGTTTCGATAAATACCAAAAGTTGAATGTTAATTACCATGAGGTCTTAAGGTCTGTACTCTACATAAAACTCAGGGAGAGCCTGTCCTGTGTAGTTTAAATCACTAGTTAGACTTGAATTTCTACCTAGAAACAGAGTAGCCAAAGTGTTAAATCAGTAGGAAGGGAGGGGCTTTCGCCCATGCCCCCCAGGTACACTTCATGTGTCTGGAGATGTTTTTCATTGCTACAACTTGGGGGCAGGTGCTATTGGTATCTAATGCATAGAGGCCAGGGATACTGCTAAAAATCCCACAATGCCCAATACAACCCCCCAACAGTAAGGAGTTACCTAGCTCAAAATGTCAATCACTCCACTGCTGAGAAACCTTGTGTTAAAAAATATGTGTAGGTCTGAGGAGAATACACTTAAAATTACAGACCTGATGTTATTTGCATATTAGGAGATTGGGGTGTAAAACCTATTAACTAAAAAAGACCTGGTCTAGGACATTACCCTAGAGGGTAGGACCAATATAAGTAGAAAAAAAATTTTTTTAATGTATGGTGAGTTTTGCTTTGGTTTTAGGGATTTGGAAATGAAGATTCCAGAGGAAATATTGGGGTGTCAGTCAAGCTCTAAGGGCAGGGCAAGTTGCTATTTTAACTTAATCTTAGGGCACAGCACCTTACTAAAATCTGAGAGCATGTTCTCTGAACCACACTATTGAAGTATTTCCTGTCTCATTACTGTCTATCATGACATGCTCTTTTTTCTCTTTTATTTCTTTAAGTTTATTTTTTCATTTGAGAGGGAGAGCAAGTGTGACCGGAAGAGGGGCAGAGAGAGAGAGAATCCCAAGCAGGCTGTCTACTGTGAGAATAGAGCCTGATGCTGGGTTCGAACTCACGAATGCTGAGATCATTATCTGAGACAAAATCAAAAGTTAGATGCTTAGCCAAATGCGCTTCCCAGGTGTCCCTCTTCTAACACTATGATAAACTCAAAATTGTTATTGTTGTTTACTGTCTGTTCATCCCATCAGACTATTAGTTCCATGAAAGGATCTATATATATATATATATATATATATATATATATATATACACACACATATTTTGCATGCCCAGCTCCTACCATTATAAAAGTCATCAGTAAATATTGGTACTTTTGAGTTACATGAATAAATGAAACATTTAATAGAGTTTTAATTCTCACTAAAATCTATGTATATTTAGCATCCCAGAACCTTCATTTCTTATACCATCTAAAAGCAACTTTTCCTGAGAAGTTTCATACATTCCTTCTTCTAAGTAAGAAAAATTCAGCTCAAAAACACTGTTCCTGTCTTTGTTTTTGAGAAGAGAAAACAAAAATAAGTCTTTGTGAATGTGGGAAGGTGTTAGCTTTGAAGAGAAGTATGGGCAATTTACCTACCTGATGAGGAGGAAGATGGAGTATATAGAAAGGTTCAGTAAGAGAAGAGGGATATGACTCATTGTACCTCTAATTTCCCAACAAATAAGAAATGATTCCTACCTTCAAGGAGCTCAGAGCAGGGATTCTGGTTTAAGATGGCAACATAAGAGGCTCCTGAACTTACCTCTTCCCCCAGACACACCAAATCTACAACTATGTATGGAATAATTCATTCTGAAAGAAATCCAGAAACTAGCTGAGTGACTCTTACACATCAAATGAAGGAGAAACACACACACACACACACACACACACACACACACACACACACATCAAAATGGGTCACCAGTGTCTGGAAAACAAGTTTGTGCATATATCTGGAGCCCCACATTTTGTGGCTGAAGACCAGAAGACACATCCCTTGATAGCCTGGCTCTGTTAACCAGCAGTGCTGTGTTCTTGGGTTAGTGGGATTGTGGCAAGCAAAGAGACAGTTAGTGGCTGGCTATCCCTCCAAGAGTCAGCATAGAGGGAGTGGGGAGAGTAGATAGAGGAACCTATCTCCTATTCCTTTCCTAAAAGAGGTCTATTTGCATACTTAAAAGCTACTTCCAGAGGATCTGTCTTCCATTTAGCCTGCATCTATGTGCTGAGTGAGGTCTTCCCCCTTTGCAATGCTAACAAGTCTTGGCACACCCTCAATTACTGGGAACCACTAAAAACAAACAGGGCTGTTTGGACAATCACAAAGTTTTGAGAGACAACAAAGAGCTAGGGTTGGGCTGAACAAGTTTCATTTCCTACACATCTTCCAGACTGGGAGAGCTAGCTGTTTAATCTTTAAACACACACACACACACACCCAGATGAAAAAACAGAGCATATGTTCCAAAAGAAAGAACAAGAATAAACCCCAGAAACAGAACTTAATGAAATGGAGATAAGTGATTTACCTGGTAAAGAGTTTAAAGTTTATAAAGATGGTCACCAAGGTCAAAAGACCAATGCATGGACAAAATGAAAATTTCAACAAAGAAATTGAAAATATAAGAAAGCATTAAAGCAGAAATCATAGAGGAATACAATACCTGAACTGAAAAAATCAGTAGAAGGGTTCAGTAGCAGATTAGATGAAGTGGAAGAAAAGATCAATGAACTCAAAGAGCAATGGACTTCGATCAGAGAAGAAAAAAGAAAAAAAAATGCAGTGAAGATAGCTTAAGGGATTTATGCAACATCATCAAACAGATCAATTTTCACATTATAGGAGTCCTAGAAGGAGAAGATAGAAAAGGGCAAAAAGCTTATTTGAAGAAATAATGGTTGAAAGTTTCCTAACCTGGGGGAATGGGGGGAAGAAAACCAGATCCAGGAATTCCAGAGAGCTCCAAATAAGATAAATTCAAAGACTCACACTTGGACATGTTATAATTGTTAAAAGTTAAAGACAAGAAGATAAGGGAACCCCTATAAGACTATCAGCAGATCTTTCAGCAGAAGCTTTGAAGACCAGAAGGAGTGGTGCAATATATTCAAAGTGCTAAAGGAAAAAACTTTCCAACTGAGAATACTCTACCTGGTAAAGTTGTCTTTCAAAATTGAAGAAAAGATAAAAAGTTTTGCAGACAAGTAAAAGCTAAAGGAATTCATTACCAATAGACTGGACTTATAAGAAATGATATAGGGAATTAGTCACGCTGAATTAAAGGGACATTAATTGGCAACAAGAAAATATAAAAGTATAAATCTCATTGGTAAAGGTAAATATTAAATTAAGGATATTCTAATGTTGTAATAGTGGTGGGAACAGTATTTATAAATCTAATATGAAAATGAAAAGACAAAAGTCACAAAACTATACCTACAATAATTTGTTAGTGAATATAAAGGTAAATAACTGTGATGTAAAAATGTAGAGCTTTAATATGTGTTTAAATGTAAGTTGCTATCAATTTAAAATAGACTGTTACAAATATATGTTGTTTTTTTTCAATATATGAAGTTTATCGTCAAATTGGTTTCCATACAACACCCAGTGCTCATCCCAAAAGGTGCCCTCCTCAATACCCATCACCCACCCCCCATCAACCCTCTGTTTGTTCTCAGTTTTTAACAGTCTCTTATGCTTTGGCTCTCTCCCACTCTAACCTCTTTTTTTTTTTCCTTCCCCTCCCCCATGGGTTTCTGTTAAGTTTCTCAGGATCCACATAAGAGTGAAACCATATGGCATCTGCCTTTCTCTGTATGGCTTATTTCACTTAGCATCACACTCTCCAGTTCCATCCACGTTGCTACAAAGGGCCATATTTCATTCTTTCTCATTGCCACGTAGTACTCCATTGTGTATATAAACCACAATTTCTTTATCCATTCATCAGTTGATGGACATTTAGGCTCTTTCCATAATTTGGCTATTGTTGAGAGTGCTGCTTAAATATATGTTTTATATAAGCTTCATGGTAACTACAAAGGAAAGAATTTTAAGCATATTAGAACAGAATATCATCAAATCACGAAGAGAGCAAGAGAAAGAGGGGCAAGGGAACTGTAGAATAGCCAGAAAAAAAATGAAGAAAGTGACAATAATAAGGACCTATCATACCTATCAATAATTGCTTTAAATGTAAATGGAAGAGTTTCTCCAATACACAGAGTGGCTGAATGGATTAAAAAAAAACAAGAACCAATTGCCACCTAAAAGAGATTCACTTCAGCTTTAAGGATACACATAAATTGAAAATAAAGAGATGGAGAAAGATATTCTATGCAAAAGGAAACGAAAAGAAAGCAGAAGTAGCTATACTTATACCAGACCAAGTTGACTTCAAGATTTCAATAATAAGTCTTATATAAGGATAAAGGGATCAATCCAACAAGAGGCTATAACATTTGTAAGTATTTATGTATCCAACACAGGATTACCTAAATATATAAAGCAAATATTAATAGACCTATAGGCTGAAATAGACAGCAATATTATAACAGTGGGTGAATTTAATACCCTGCTTTCAACAATGCATAGATCATCCAGACAGAACATCAGTAAGGAAATATAGGACTTTACTCATTAGACCAAATAGACCTAAAAGACATCTATAGAATATTCCATCCAAAACCAGAAGAATACACATTCTTCAACTGCACATGGAACATTTTCCATGGTGGATCATATGATAGGCCACAAAACAAATCTTAACACATTTAAGAAGAATGAAATCATACCAACCATCTTTGACCATCATGGTATGAAACTAGAACCAACAAGAGAAAAGTGAGACCTAGAAATTAAACAACACACTTTTTTTTAAGTTTATTCATTTAATTAGAGACTTCAAGTGGGGGAGGGGCAGAGACAGAGAAAGAATCCTAAGCATACTCTTCACCATCAGTGTGGAGCCCCATTCAGGGCTTGAACTCATGAACCTGGAGGCCAGGACCTGAGCCAATATTGGATGCTTAACACACTGAGCCACCCAGGTGCCTCCTACACAACACCCTTCTAAACAACCAGTAGGTGAAAGAAGAAATCAAAATGGAAGTAACTTATCCAGAAACATATGACCATAAAAACAAATACTGTGGAACGCAGCAAAAGCAGTTCTGAAAGTGTATAGCAATAAATGCATATATTAGGAAATTAGATCAAGTAAACAATCTAACTTTACAACTCAAGGAACTAGAAAAAATCTTCAGTTACAAAGTTAGTAGGAGGAAGGGAATAATAAGGATCAGGGCAGAAATAAATGACCTAGAGACCAGACAAAAAGAATAAAAAAGAAAAACAAAATTGACAAACCTTTAGCTAGACTAAGAAAAAAAAGGAGTCTAATAAACTTAGAAATGAAAGCGGAGACATTATAGCTTATAGTACAGTAAGGCATAAAATCATATGAGACTACTATGAACAATTAAATGCCAACAAATTACATAACCTAGAATAAAGGGATACATTTTTAGAAACACACAATTTACCAAGACTCAATCAGGCAGAAAAAGAAAATCTGAACGGAGCAATAATGCATAAAGAGATTGAATTAGTAGTCAAAAACTCTCAACAGGAAACTTCAGGACCAGATGGCTTCACTGGAGAATTCTACCAATTCAAAGAATAATTAACACCAATCCTCCTCAAACTCTTCCAAAATATTGAAGTGGAGGGAGCATCTCCACACACATTCTATGAGGCCAGATACCAAAACCAGATAGGGATACCACAAGAAAAGAAAACCACAGATCAATATTCCTGATGAATATAGATTTAAAAATTCTCAACAAATTATTAGTAAACTAACAAATTCAAGACCATAGTAGAAGGATTATACACCATGACCAAGTGGGATTTATCCCTGGGATGCAAGAATGGTTCAACATATAAAAATCAATAAATGTACTACATTATATCAATAAAATGAAAGATTAAAATCACACAATTGTTTTAGTAGATGCGTAAAAAGTTAACAGGATACAACATCCTTTCATGATAAAACTCCTTAACAGGTTGGGTATAGAAGAAACTAATGGTTAACATAATGCTCAATGGAGATAAGTTGAAAGTGTTTTCCCCTAAGATCAAGAATAAGGAAAAGATGCTCAGTCTCATCAGTTCTATTCAATATATTACTGGAAGTTCAAGCTAGAGCAATTAGGCAAGACAAAGGGGAAAAAAAGGCATCTCACTAGGAAAGGATGAATTAAAATTGTCCTTTTTTCATGAAGATGAGATCCTATTTCTAGAATATCACAAAGAATCCATTAAAAAACTGTTAATCAATTGTAGTTAAGCAGCAGGATATAAAATCAGCATACAGAAATTAATTGCATTAATTTTCACTAACAATGACACATCTGAAAAAAATAAAAATCATTTCATTCACAATAGTATTAAAAACAATAAAATACTTAGGAATAACTTTAACCAAGGAAGTAAAAGATTTATACAATGAAAACTACAAAACCTAGCTGTAAAAAATCAAAGACACAAACAGGTGGAAAGATATCCCATATTCATGGATTGGAAGAATACTGTTAAGTGGCCATGCTACCCAAAGCCATCTACAGATTCAATGGAATCCCCATCAAAATACATAGGCATTCTTCACAGAAATAATCCTAAAAATTGTGTGGAACCACAGAAGACCCCAAATAGTCAAAGCAATCCTGAAAGAAAGAAACAAAGTTGGAGATATCATGCTTCTAGATGTCAAACTACGCTACAAAGCCATAATAATAAAAACAGTATGATACTGGCACAAAAATAGACACATTGACCAATGGAACAAAACAGCCTGGAGTCAAACCCTGGCATATACAGCTAACTAATATTTGACAAGGGAGCCTAGAATATCCAATGTAGAAAAGATATCTCTTCAAGAAGTGGTGCTGGGAAACTGGAGAAACACATACAGAACTTGAAATGCATCAAAGACTTAAACATAAGACCTGATAACCTAAAACTTCTGAAATAAAACATAGGAAAGAAGCTCAGTGAGATGTCTTGGCAATATTTGGGGGGGAAACAATGCCAAAAACACACACAACAAAAGAAAAACTTTCAACAAATGGGAATACATCAAACTCAAAAGCTTCTGCACAGCAAGCAAATAAAAAAATGAAAAGGCAACCTACAGAATGGGAGAAAATATTTGTATATCTTATCTCAAAAGGGTTAATATCTAAAAATATATTTAAAAATACCTACAACTCAATAGCAAAACAAACAACTTGTTAAAGATGGGGAAAGGACCTGAATAAACATTTTTTCAAAGAAAACCTACAACTGGCCAACATATACCTGAAAAGTTGCTCAACATCACTAATCATCAGGAAAATGCAAATGAAAACCATGATAAAATATTAGGATAACCATTGTAATTGGAATGACCTAAGAAAAAAAGACTGTTGGCAAGGCTGTACAAAAGAGGGAACTTTGTGCACTGTTAGGAATGTAAATTGTTACAGTCATTATGGAAAACAGTATGAGGATCCTCAATACAAAATAGAACTACCATTTGATCTGGCAAATTTACTTCTGGATATATATAAAGGGAATGAAGTCACTATCTTGAAAATATTTATGCCCCTTCATGTTCATTGCAGCATTATTTACAATAGCTAAGGCATGGATATAACCATTGACAGATGAATGAAGAAAGTATATACCTACATTTTGTGTACACACATACACACAAATATTATTCAGTCATAAAAAAAAAGGAAATCCAGCATGGATGAACCTTGAGGGAATTATGCTAAGTGAAATGAGTGAAAGACATACTTGGTGATCTGACTTATATGTGGAATCTAAAAAAGAAAGCATTTCATAGATACAGAGAACAGATTGGTGATTGCCAGATTTGGGGTGTGGGAGAAATGGGTGAAAGGCACTTATAAAGAAGTCATAGGAAGGTGATGCAGAGCATGGTGACTAAAGTTGGCAATGCTGCATTTTGTATGTGAAAATTGTTACTAGAGTAAATCTTAAAGTTCTCATCACAAGGAAAACGTAACAATGTGTGGTGATGATTAAACTGAGTATGGTAATCATTTTACAATATATAAGTATATGAAACACCATGTTGTACAACTAAATCTCATGCAATGTTATATGTCAAGTATATCTCAATAAAACTGAAAAAAAAGGAAAATCATAAATTGACAATGTAGCAGGACTACTTGAAGAAGCTCCTTATTGATTATGTGTAGATACGTTCATTATTGTGTCATCTGGCATATTTTTCTCTTCCTGGGCTCCTTGAAAGATAATAGGAGTTTAGATCTACATGTTCTCAACTTGAGAGTGTGTCTCAAGAGTAAACAGGGTAAGAAACAGACCTCAGAAGAAGCTTGGAAGTATGGGGTTAGAAGAACCAGTAGTAATAAATGAGCTAAGGGGAAAGGATGCATTCTGGATAAATAATGCGAATGACAGTAGTTATACTCATGACAAATTAAGCATGGAAAGTCTAAGAATATTCTTTTGGGAGAACAATCGCACTTATATAGTGATGGAAAAACAAAAAAAGCCAAAACAAAAATATCAGATAATCTTTTTATCACACAGGGGCTTCATACCTTTTGAATTGTGATATTATTTGTAGTTCTCTACGGGGTTTAATGAAATATGATACCAAATTAGCACCTTTGAAATTGGACATCATCCTTGTGTGTGTGTGTGTGTGTGCGCGCGCGTATGCTTTCCATTTCTGTTCCAGAGAGGATTTAAGGTACCTGAATCAATATTCACATTTCATCTCTGGCTCTAACGACAGTCTCTGTGATTTTCTAGGTCTTTGGAACATACTTCACACATTCAGCTTCTCAGAGAAAACCATCAATATTTGCCATAGTGAAGAAAAAGAAGGTCAGAGAAGCATTTTCCAAGCTTTTGGATATTTAGCAGAAGAGTTAAGCAGAGTCAAGTACATCTGGCAGGCCCTAGTGAAACATATGGCTACTAACTCATATATTTTATGATTAAAATTGTTTTATGATTTGTAAGCACTTGCAAAGTCACAAATAAATTTATTTACACATTGAATAAATCATTTTCATTTAAGTCACCCTGTTCCTTTATGATACTTACTAAACTTTGTTATAAAAAAAAATATTTGTTATTGTTTACAATCCTTGTTCCTATACTCGACTGTAAGGTCCATGAAGACAGGAGTGTTTTTTGTTCACTGCTGTAAACCTAGGGATTTAATTTACTGCTATAAACCCAATACTTAATAAATACATGAAATTACTTTGTTAAGACTTGGACATCTAAGTATGATAACTACATTGGATTTTCAAAGTAAAGAACTCATTTCTGGAAATTTCCATTTTAGAACATTATTCATGTTTTCTGAGATGTCAATAGCCATATAGAGGGTCTTATTGACTGATAACTATGCCCTAAATTTTCATATTCAAGGAGTGAACTCCCTTGTCAACCTTTTACAAAATGCAGCTAACATTAAGTCTGGGTTGATACATTAACCCTCAAAATTTTAGGAACTTGATGCTGAGTAAGTTGTATAAAACATTTTCACCGAAAAGTTTGTTTTTTGTCTTAATTAGGCATTCAAACACATTTTTTTTTTCTCCATAACTAGTATACTCTGCTTGTAACATGATTGGCTAGTAGTTAAAAATAATTGGCACATTTCTGATAACTTCACCTTCCTAGTTTCCAGCAGCTCTTAGTAAAGGTAATACAGGGGTGCCTGGTGGCTCAGTCGGTTAAGTGTCTGACTCTTGGTTTCCCCACCAGCTCACGTCTTGATCTCACAGTTTCATGAGTTCAAGCCCCACACTGTGCTCTATGCTGACAGCATAGGGCCTGCTTGGGATGCTTTCTCTCTCCCCCTCTCTTTGCCCACCCCTGACTCATGCTGTTTCTGTCTCTCTCAAAATAAATAAACTTAAAAAAAAAAAAAAGGTAATACATTACCCCAGGTGCCCCTGGTAGCTGAGGATCCTGGGAAGTGGGGTCATTGATTGATCTAGTTCAGATTTCTCACCTTAGAGTTGATTTCCCTCTCCACAAACATCACTATTGTTAAAGTGCTATTTTGGGCTGCTGTAGAGACATTTGGCATGTCGGTGTTAGGAAAATTTTCCTAAAGCTTGGAAATAAGGAGAAAGAGTAATTCCAAGTCCTTTCTTTCTTTTTTTTTTTTTAATTTTTTTTTTCAACGTTTATTTTTGGGACAGAGAGAGACAGAGCATGAACGGGGGAGGGGCAGAGAGAGAGGGAGACACAGAATCGGAAACAGGCTCCAGGCTCTGAGCCATCAGCCCAGAGCCCGACGCAGGGCTCGAACTCACAGACCGCGAGATCGTGACCTGGCTGAAGTCGGACGCTTAACCGACTGCGCCACCCAGGCGCCACTCCAAGTCCTTTCAATATCATGTTAAAAAAAAGTGCTTCTCAAACTTCAATGTGCACCTGAACTACCTGGTGATAGTTTTGAAACATAGATTTTGACTTCACACATGGGGGGTGGGAACCCAGTTTCTGAATTTCAAACAGCTCTCAGGTGAGAGCAGTTCTATGGGACAATGACCTTCCACCCTGCTACTCAAAATGGGTAGCACATTGTTGAAAGCCCTTGAGCAAGGCGATGTCACATCCTAGGGCGGTGCTTCTCAAACATGGTTGCCTGTTAGAATCACTTGGGGGAGGGGGGTTAAAAATCTTGATGCTCAGGCCTCACCCAGTTTCCAATTAAGTTACAGTATGGGGGGCGGCCCATGTAAGACCTATTCATCAGTGTTTTTTAAAGCTCTCCAGCTGTTTCTAATATGCTCTAAGGGAATATAGCTTTTTTGCCCAACTGATCAGGGCCATTTTACAGTTCTGTAAACTGGTAAGGTGCGACGGTTTTATTGCCTATGGGATGTTAACCAGTTTTGTACTTAATTTGGTACTTCAGCTTTTATATTTTTCCTGGTCAAAAAATTTCAGTTTCTTAAATTTGATTTGGAACTGCCTTTTCATCTTTCTAGTTCCCTCATTAATGAATTAAATAAAACTTTTGACACACAATGCTTTGATGGTTTTTGTTTTATCCAGTCTATTAACATAATTACACAGCTAGCAGCTACATTTTCTCTTTTGTTTGAGCAGCAGCCAATGTTTTTTGGAAGTTAGTAATGAATACATAAGTAAATTCATCTGGGGTCTCTCTAAACCTAGCATACTTGATTCAGCCCTCATCAAAGAAAGAATGAATGACTAGTTCAGTAATTGTTGACATTATCTTAAAGTACATTTCTGGAGATCAGATTTACACTGTGACCCATGCCAATTCACTATCATTGGGAAGACAGCTCCCTCTTTTACTAACAGGAGAAATGCTACCACAGCATTATCGGCAGGCCTGGACTTGTTTTCCCACAGTGGGAAGGAGTTGGCGGTACTCCACCCCTACTTTTCTCCCAGCTTTTCCTTATGACTGATGGTTCCCATTTGCAGGATGTCAGGCCAGGGTTTAAGGGACTGCCTGTAGCAAAGTAAATTGGCCCACTTAGGGATCAAACCTGTGAACTTGCCTTCATCAGCACACTAATCCTAGCAGAGGCATGAGCCTGCCATTTTATCCGCTGATTGATTTCCCTGAAAGTTAGGATTCTGAACTCGTTCTGCTCTTCAGCTGAAGAAAAAGTTTCAAGTTTAAAAAGTGTATTCTAAAACTTAAGAGTCAATAAAAAAAATAGCTAAAAGAATATTTGTGTATTAAAAATAATCTCATACAAGTAAGGGCATTTAGCCTAAAATGAGTTCATATTTGAGGCCTCACCTTTAATATGGTCTTTCAGCTTTAAAAAGTGAAGTGTATTTTACCTACATAGCTATATTTATTGCTAATTTTTTTAAGTCTATTTTTGAGAGAGAGTATGAGCAAGGGAGGGGCAGAGAGAGAAGGAGAGAGAAAATCCCAAGCAGGTTCCACACTCAGCACAGAGCCCATGGGGCTCGATCCCATGACCAGAAGAATATGACCTGAACCGAAATCAAAAGACTCTTAACCCACTGAGCTATCCAGGCACCCCTTTTTATTACCAATTTCTATAATGCACAGTAAATATGTAAATATTAAGGGTGACTATAAAGCAATGACATTTCTCAGATGGAAGTTTTTCTCTTTAGCTTTGTCCTTCTTGAAGGTTGGCCACCTATTTTGATGATGTTGTAATTATTTACTTATTCCTATAACTTTCCCCAATATTTAAAAATTTTTGATAATCTTAGACAAGAAAAGACTTTTTTATTTGGAAGGGACTTTCTGTGGCCCATTCTTTTAATGTCTTCTACTGTGGCAAGTCTTCATTTTTTGAGATATGTATGATTATAGGAATTAACTGGGAGTCACTTTGAGTCAAATCTGTTGAGGAAGGTGTGGATTTAAGTTGTTTTAATTAACTATTATCACATACGCAATGTGGTAATAACAACCCTGCTTTCTCAAGTGGCTTATAAACTTTTTAAGTTTATTTATTTATTTTTGAGAGAGACAGCATAAGCAGGGGAGGGGCAGAGACAGAGGGGGGACAGAGGACCCGAAGTGGGCTCTGTGCTGACAGCAGAGAGCCCAGTGCGGGGCTTGAACCCAAGAACTGTGAGATCATGACCTCAGCCAAAGTCAGACACTTAACTGACTGAACCACCCAAGTGCCCTTTATAAACTGGTCTTGGGGCACCTGGGTGGCTCAGTCGGTTGAGCGTCTGACTTGGGCTCAGGTCATGATCTGGCGGTTTGTGAGTTTGAGCCCCGCATCAGGCTCTGTGCTGACAGCTCAGAGCCTAGAGCCTGGAGCCTGCTTTGGATTCTGTGTCTCCCTCTCTCTTTGCCCCTCCCTGTCATGCGCTCTCTCTCTCTCTCTCTCTCTCTCTCTCTCTGTGTCAAAAATAACCATTAAAATATTTTTTAAAAAAAAGATAAACTGGTCTTGGCTTTTCCCAAAAAGGGAGCTTCAAAATGTGTTAATATAATGGGAAAGTTAGCAGAATAAGTAAAATCTGTTATGGTGAATATACTATGAAGGACATTATTTTGACATTAACTTTCTGAAAGTATATTTTGTTGTGTTTTTAACTCCTTATCCATAGGTACAATAATTGATATGATTGGTTCTAATATTTTTTTTTGCTGTAATTATTTTAGAAGAAAAAGTCCACGTGCTAAGGCTCAAAAAGGGAGCCACAGAAAGATGGCATTTTACGCATAATACTTGAACAGTTGGTTTTCAGGTTTTACAGTAAAAAGACACATTATATTTTTGTATATTTTATTCTGACTATGAAATCACAGCGCCTATCGCGCATCCTCCATGTACCATAGCAAATGCTTATGATTAGACAGTTGGTAAGTGGATTCACTTTATATTGAAACTTTAGCTATTAAATGGTTAGCCTCAATGTCTTTTGGGATTAAAGTTAACTCTTAAAATATATGATATGAATATGTCAAGTCATATTTTCTCACTAGCATTGAAAATAACTGCCTTTTTCAAAGTATTAACTGCCATCAATGAAATCTAAACTCATCAACTAAATAAACAGGGTATTTCATAGAGAACACAGGCCAAAGCTGGCAGAGTGTAATAAGCTGATGAGATCTCAAAAACACTGTTCATTTCATCTACTTAGCATCTCTTCCTTCTATTTTAGTAACAGTATCCCTTGTTTCCTCTGAAAAAAAGATCTGTCACTCACTGGTCACTTTCAGTCAGTGGGACTGGGGGCAAATCTGGACGTAATTATCTGGCTATCTACCAACACAAGCTATAATAATTGGCTCAGGGATGGGTCTGCAACTGAAGCTGAGCCAGTAAGGGTCCATGCTAGAATTCCTGCCAGACATTTTGGGCATGAGGTATTTTACATCTGGATTAGCCAAGTACTGTATTTAAAATAGAACCCTAAAGCGGCTGGCTGGCCATTTTTGATGCTAACTGAGGAAGGTCAGTGAGAAAAATGCCAATCCCAGAGAAGCAGGGCTGAGAGGAGAAAGATTGCTGATGTCTTTGGGCACTTGGGTGTAACTCTGCCAATGGCTGCCTTAGCCTGGCTTTTTCATTTAAAAACAATGCATTCCATTTTTGATTAAAGTAATTTGAGTTGGAGTGCTGTCATTGGCAACCAAGAGCCCTGGGTATTAACAAGTAGATGATAAAATCACCACTTATTTACTGGTCATTTTATTACTCGCTTTTAAGTTAAGCACTTAAAGTCTATTCATTTTGATAAAGGAAAAAAAAAATAATGAGGACCAAACAGTAAATTTTATGGAAGACTAATTCATTTGCCAACATTCATTAATTGCATCCA